AACATTGGGGTGCATGTATCCCTTTGAATTAGTATTTTTGTATTCTTTGAGTAATTTTGCTATCTGTATATCTTTCTATGTGAAAGGTTGATTCATGTCATTTGCTCATTTTTTAATTGGATTACTTTTAACTCTTGAGCTGTGAGAGTGCTTTATATACTGATGATACGGGTCCTTTATCAGGTATGTGATGTGCAAATATTTTCTTCTATCTCTAGTTTGCCATTTTAATTCTTTTTTTAAAATTTTATTGTGTTATGTTAATCACCATACATTACATCATTAGTTTTTGATGTAGTGTTCCATGATTCATTGTTTGTATATAACACCCAGTTCTCTGCCATTTTAATTCTTTTTTTTTTTAAAAAGATTTTATTTATTTATCTGACAGAGAGAGACACAGCGAGAGAGGGAACACAAGCAGGGGGAATGGGAGAGGGAGAAGCAGGCTTCCTGCCAAGCAGGGAGCCTGATGTGGGACTTGATCCCAGGACCCTGGGATCATGACCTGAGCCAAAGGCAGACGCTTAATGACTGAGCCACCCAGGCGCCCCTCTGCCATTTTAATTCTTAACAGGATCTTTTGTATAAAAGTTTTCAGTTTTGATGAAGGCCAGTATATCAGTTTTTCCTTTTATGGATTATGCTTTTGGTATCAAATTAAAGGACTCTAACTCTAGATCTGGAAGATGTTTTCAGATTTTTTTTCTAAATTTTTATTATTTTATACTTTACATCTAAATCTATGATCTATTTTGAGCTAATATTTGTGTAAGATGTGATGCTTAAGTTGAGGTTCATTTTTTATTTTAAGATTTTATTTATTTATTTGTCAGAGAGAACACAAGCAGGGGGAGCGGCAGGCAGAGGGAGAAGCAGGCTCCCTGCTGAGCAAGGAGCCTAATGTAGGACTCGATCCCAGGACTCTGGGACCTGAGCCTGAAGGCAGATGCTCAACCAACTGAGCCACCCAGGCATCCCTTTTTTTGCTCATCAAGTCCACTTACTCGAGCACTGTTGTTGAAAAGTCTATCCTTCCTGCATGAAATTGGTTTTTCATCTTTCTCAAAAATCTATGGGGCATATTTATATGGACTTTTTTCTGGGTTTTTAATTCTGCTTCAGGGATCTATGTGACTGTCCCTTTGCCAATACCACAGTTTGGATTACTGTAGCTATATACTAAATAGTAAGCCTTAATATCTGGTTGAGTAATTCCTCCCACTTTATTTTTCTGTGTCAGGATTATATTAGCTATTCTGGTTTCTTTGCCAGAAATTTATAGATAGAATAAACTTATTTATAGAATAAACTTGACTATGACAAAAAAACCTTGCTGGGATATTTATTGAGATTGTATTAAATATAGATCAGTTTGAGAATTGATATCTTTACTGGAAACACAGTATGTCTCCTCATTTATTTAGGTCTTTGATTTCTTTTTGTAAATGAAATTTTACCTCTTGTACTGTTCACCATACAGATCTTGTGCATGTTTTAAGTGTATATGTATAGCTAAGTTTCATTTTCTTTGGAGCAATACTGAATAGTAGTATGTTTTTAATTTTGGTTTCTGCATGTTCACTGATAGTTTGTAGAAATGCGATTCCTTTTTTGTGTATTTATCATGTATTCTTGTGACCTTGCTGAACTCACGTATTAGTTCTAGGAGTTTTTTATAGATTCCTTAGGGTTTTCTATGTAGACGGTCATGTCATCTGCAAATAGAGATAATTTTATCTTTTCCTTTCTAATCTCTAGGTCTTTGTTTCTTGTCTTATTGCAGCTTAAATTTTTTTTAAAACTTTTCTAAGTACTTATTATTAATTCATTGTGAAACTTTACCTGAGCTTTGTAAATATCCTCATAAGTATTCAGTGTCTTTCATCTTCTTGATTAATTTTGAAAGGAGTCTTTTATGGAGACTTCTGTCCTCTCTAAGCTGGTTTGGGTGATTTCTAGGCCTCCTTCACAGTTTTTGTTTAGAATATCTCTTCATCATCCTGGAGATTTCTTTTGCCTTTCTCTTGTTTTGGGTTCTTTTTTATATGGATTCTGTGTCTGCCTTTGCAGATAACTATTCTGTCACTTTGCTGGAGCACATTTTCCAGTAGTTAACTGACAAAGAGTTAATGGGAAGTAAATTCGTTTATACTTCGCATTACTTGAATTTTGAGTCTGATTATGTAATCATTAATAATGAGTTAGCTGGTAATAAGATTCTGGGCTGCACATTGTTTTCCCTTAGAATTTTGAAAACGTTGCTTCATTGTCTTCTAGCTTTCAGTTTTGAAGTTTGGTGCCATTTAGATTTTTTTTTTTTTAATTTATTTATTTGAGAGATGGAGAGAGTGTTTGCATGGGGTGGGGGAAGGGCAGAAGAAGAGGGACAGAGTCTTTTTTTTTTTAAAGATTTTATTTATTTATTCATGAGAGACAGAGAGAGAAGCAGAGGGAGAAGCAGGTTCCCAAGGAGCAGGGAGCCCGATGCGGGACTCGATCCCAGGACCCTGGGATCATGACCTGAGCCGAAGGCAGACCCTTAACCATCTGAGCGACCCAGGTGCCCGAGAGAGTCTTTTTTTAAAAAAAAAAATTTATTTATTTGACAGAGAGGGAGAGAGCATAAGCAGGGGGAGTGGCAGGCAGAGGGAGAGGGAGAAGCAGTCTCCTAGCTGAGCAGGGAGCTGTTGGGCTCATTCCCAGGACCCTTGGGATCATGACCTGAGCCGAAGGCAGCCGCTTAACCGACTGGGCCACCCAGGCGCCTGAGGGAGTCTTAAACAGACTCCTCACTGAGCACAGAGAGGGATGTGGGGCTCGAGCTCATAACTCTGAGATCAGGCCTCAAGCCAAAACCAAGAGTTAGATGTTTAACCGACTGCACCACCCAGGTGCCCCACCATTTAGATTCTTGACTCTTTATGAAACCTGTTGTGTTTTTCCTTTTTAGAAACTTATTGAACCTACTTTGTCTTTAGAGTTCTAAAATTTTAGGATTATAGGTCTAGGTTTGGTTTAATTATATCCATTTGGCTGGGTAATGCTGAGGTGTTATCCTGGAAGCTCATGTAATGGGAACTCAGGAAAAATTTTCGTAAAATACTTCTTTGATGATTTCAGTCTTCTGTTTTGCCTGTTCTCTCCTTTTTGAATTCCTGTTATTTGAATATTGGACCTCTTGGGCTAACCTTTTAATTTTCTTACCTTTTCTCTTGTTTCTCCCATTTCTTTGTCTTTTTGTGCTTCTTGGAAGGCTTCCTCAATATTCTAAATCTTTTTTGAGTTTGCATATCTCTGTCACAGTATTAAGTTCCAGGAGTTTGTTTGCTTTTCATTGTCCTTTTAAAAAAAAATAATAGCCTGTTCTTGTTTGAAGGATGCAGTCAGTATGTTTTCTCTCTGAGAGTATTTTTTTTTTTTTCTTTTTTTATTTGACAGAGAGAGAGCACAAGCAGGGGCAGCGGCAGAGGCAGAGGGAGAAGCAGGCTCCCTGCTCAGCAGGGAGCCCGATATGGGGCTCGATCCCAGGACCCCGGGATCATGACCTGAGCCCAAGGGAGATGCTTAACCGACTGAGCCACCCAGGCGCCCCTCTCTGAGAGTATTAAATATAGCTTTTTCTTTTGAAGTTTTTTCTTTGAATATTCATGGTTCCTTCTCTGCTTTTTTTTTTTCCTTTCTTTTTTTTTTTTTTTTTTGTATTTTGTGTTTCAAACTAGATGCATTTGTCAAATGTTTGGTGGAATTGGAAAAAGCTATTTGAAAGCCCCGTTTGAATGAATGAGGTTTATTCACTATGGGCTTCAGTGTTCTTGGGCATTTGCCTTTTGGATCCTTCCCGATACCAATTTCTTTAGGCATTTACTCTCAAGCTGGTTAGATTCCTCAGCGAAACCTCTAACAATTGCCAGGAGGGTGTTAGCATTCTCGATGTTAGGTCGAGGAGAATTCTTTGGGATTTCAGTATTCAGTATGTAAACGACTTTGTCTCCCTTTTGCAATGTGATATTCTTGCTTCATTGTGCCGGTTGTCACTTACTAGAGATTGTTTTCAAGATTCTTGTGTTCTCTCTGATTGGGAAGGGGCAGTTATTGGCCTGGAAGAGTTGGGGAGGGTTGGAGATATAAGGGTCTAAATCCACCAGTTTTCATCCCTACTTCAAGAGATGCAAGTTGCTTATCACCGATTCTTGAGCCTTTTGGGATTTTAGTGATCTGAGTCACCTTCCTTGGCTTTTTCTATTACTGGTTTAGGATTCAGTTTTTTGTTCTGACAAGTCACACAAAAACTTTTAACTTGGAAAACTTGTTGCTATTATAGTATCTTTTTATCTTTATCGTAATGGGTCTGTCTTTTAAGGAAAGTACTCTTTATTGTCATTTCAGTGGTGTTTGGGGAAGAAATAGAAGTCGATGCATGTGTTTAAGCTGCCATCCTAAAATAAGTTTCATGATACAGTTTTTAATGGAAAACAGTCAATTGAAAAATGCATGGATAGCATAGTCCAGAGTTTTAACATTGATTATCTTTGAGTGGTAGAGTTATAAATATTTTATCCTCCCTATGTATTACTATTTATGTATGATACATGAGTTATTTGGAAAATACAAGAAGTAAAGAATATGATGTCTGTTGTGTTAATTACCTTTTTATTCATGTTTACTTCTGGGGAAGGAAAAGTATCCAGTACCTTTTCTTTAGAGACAAGCTGTGCATAGAGTCCAGGATCATCTAGGAAGCAGGGTATTTGGTGATCCTAAGTCTAGGGTATTTAACTGTTGTGATCCATGAAATGCTTGATTTTGAAGTACATGGTGGTGTAATCTACATCTTGATGCATATTTTCCCCATATAAAAAATAGGAAAATATATGGGCTTTTATTTTAATCTTTAGTGTGTATATCATACTCACGTTTGAGAAATAATAGCGTTATTTATCTGCTGTTTTTATGAAACACTCCTTGCACAAATGTTAAGTAACTAAATGGCTGTACAGATACACTGGCTGGCCGTGAATGGGCGGACAGAACTACTCCATGACCTTGTACAACACGTCAGTGACGTCGATGTTGAGGATGCGATGGGGCAGACAGCGCTGCATGTGGCTTGCCAGAACGGTCACAAGACGGTAAATTCAGCCATGAGGACTTTAAGTTGCATGTATTTATTTTTGAAAACTTTGAATTAATGAAAAGTTTTTCACTGTGCATAATTGGGAACATGAAGCATCGTAGCAAAATCTTAAAACATTTTTTGCATCATATGGACTTATGATTAATATATATTTGTGGATAAAAAGAATAGAAAATAGTGCTTTTAAATCTGTTTAAAGTATTTGGATTTCAAATTTATTTCTGATTCATAGATTTTGATAGCTGAATATACTAAAATTTTAAATGTATGTTCACATGTAATTTTTTTTCTTTTTTTTTAATTAACATATGATGTATTATTTGTTTCAGGGGCACAGGTCTGTGCTTCATCAGTCTTAAACAATTCACAGTGCTCACCATAGCACATTACCCTCCTCAGTGTCTATCACATGTAATTCTAATAATGTTCTTATTCTCAATCTTATTATCACATAACTTTTTTATATTTTATTTTTTACCATTATGCCTCAGTTACTGGGATTAGGTAGTAAGAAAGTGAGCACGGACATTGCTTAAATATTTCAGCTTAGATTATCATATTTTTCTGCTGTCTTGGAATATGATGCAAGACTGGAGTGATGGTTGTTTTCTTTCTTACTTTGATTTCTAAGATCATGCATTTGTTTTACGTCAGTACTTTCCTCTTGCTTCCATGTACAAACATTTAACTTTAAAAGTTGCTAATAGTTTTTCTTTTATTAGGAGACTGCTGCCTTATATAAAAATTGTTAGTTTAAAATTTAAAATCTGCCTTGTTATAGTTTCCTGTCCTGGTTACTTTTGAGTTTTTTTTTTTCCCCACATTTAACATTGTTGTTAATAGAAATTTATTTACTTGTTAACCATAACAAGAACAACAGAAACCAGCCGAAAACAAAAAAAATCACCATCAATAACGGCAGATACAGAAATTTGTGTGTTTAATATGTATTTTTTTTAAAGATTTTATTTATTTATTTGACAGTGGAGAGCACAAGCAGGGGGAGTGGCAGGCAAAGGGAGAGGAAGAAGCAGGCTCCCCACTGAGCAGGGAACCCAATGTGATGTCAGGGCTCAATGTGGGGCTCGCTCCTAGTACCCTTGGATCATAACCTGAGCCGAAGGCAGAGCTTAACCGACTGAGCCACCCAGGCGCCCAATATGTATTGTTTTGGACACACTCTCTCTGAGTCTTATCTTTGTGTTCTGAGAATTCCTACTGGAATCTTGATTTTCATCTCTGTACTTTTTTCCTAATCTGGGTTCAGGATGTAGGATGCTACATGTTTAAATGGATTTATATGTGATTATAATTTAGAGTATTGCACTTCTTTAAGATAGTGAGGCCAAGAGTAACATTGTCTTATGTTTAATGAGTTGCATAAGAGGAGGGATATAGAGGTTTTTTTTCTTCCCTGGAATTTCTTCTGAAAACTAGTTGTTCATTTTTATTTTTTATTTTTTGTCCTTTATCATCTGAAAACTAACCCAATGTTTTCAAGTAGTATTTCCTTCTCATTAGTTTTTACTTTCTGAGAGTCAGCAGTATTAATTTAAAAAGTATTCTGTGTGAAAAAAAAATGATCTGAAATGTCCTAATCTTGAATGGCCCAGGTTTTTAAACAATGGTTGCACATTAGAGGATGAGTCCTGCTGGTAGTTGTTACAGGACAGAAAAGCACCCACTTTAATATAAACACTTTGCCATAACAGGAGTGGAGTGTCATATATAAGATTATAAATCCTACCTGTTGGCCAAGAATTTTTATACAAAAAACTGGGATTCAGATCAGAAGTGATCTATGAAAACTAATTTTAGCTGCCTTGAGCCAGTGAAGAGACAAGAATTACTAAGAAAACCCTATTTCAAAACATGTGCATTACAGGCTGCATTGAAAATTTAGAATTGCCTTCTGAGGTCATTGAAGAATAGTTAGTATGAGTATAATATACTCCATATGCTTTACAACCTAAAGCAGGTGTGGTGAAGTAAGGGAGAATTCCTCATAGTCAGATGCCTTTGAAGAATTATAATCTCAAAAGATTTATAAGGGGGCCTGACTTCACTGCGATGATGAGTTTCACAGAGTGAGGTTTTGCAGATATAGTAGAGGAGGAAGGGTACAAAAAGTTGACTTGTGGTTGATTGTATTGGTGAGTGAGATTCCATTTTATTATAGTTGGTCAATTATAGTTATCTGTGAGGATCATGAACAGATAAAGAGTATGTTTAGTGTTTTATGAATCATTGTATGCATCTTTAATTCTTCCTCGATGCAGGAAGGAATCTTGAAAAATTAGTCTATCTTTTAGCCTCCAGGCTGAATTATACTCCTAAAAATCTTTGTTGGTAGTTGTGCTAATATTACCTATGCCTTATAATTACTTATGTATTTCTGGGACATGTTCAAATCTCATTGGATGAGCATAGATATGATAAATTATTACAGGATAGGGATTATTGATTTTTTTTTAACTCTTTGTATATCTTTCCATAAGTTGAACACTGAGTATAAAATGCTTTGTCAGGTATCCTACTGACTTACTTTAGCTGCAAGTAAAAATGGCCTTTTTACTGTCTCAAAGTCAGTTCATGCATAAATTCATTAAAAGGTCTTCAGAACTTGGTTCCATATAGACATGTAGCAGTGCATATAGGTTTCAAGATTTATTTTTAAGCTTAAAAGCTTGCATATTGATTATATATGTTTTACAAAATAAAATAGAAAACTTTAAAGGGAGAAAGAAGCTCCATTTAAAGAGGGATTCTTGGGTGGCTCAGTCGGTTAAGCATCTGACTTCAGCTCAGGTCATGATCTCAGGGTCTTGGGATCAAGCCCTGTAGTTGGGCTCCCTGCTCAGCGGGGAGTCTGCTTGTCCCTTTTCTTCTCCCTCTGTCCCTCCCCTGCCCGTGTTCTCTCTGTCTCTCTCAAATAAATAAATAAAAAATCTTAAAAAAATATTTTTAAAAGGTATTAATTAGTAGCACTTTTCAGATTAAAGAGATATGATAAATCCTCTTAAATTTACTTTCTAATCACTTTAGGGTAAATCTCAGGAGTGCATGAAAAGATTTTGATCAACTGGTTAAGAGCTCTAAAGCTTTGTAGAATTTGTAACTGAATACTGCTATTTTCGCTTTGGTAACAAGAAGTGCTGTTCAGATTTACATTATATTTTAAAAGACAAAAGATTTAGAAGAAAAATGCAGTTTAGTTGTAACTAAGAAATTGAATAATCTTTGCCATGATTTAATATAGATGTGTTGGTTTTGTTAGAGGTAAACCACGATAAAGGTCTTGTTGAAAGGAAGTGGTTTGGGTAGTTGAGAATGCATTTTGACCATTTTATGTCCTTGCAACATAATAGCACTATGAGTTTTTTTTATTTTTTATTTTTGAGAGACGGGGCTAGATCTCATGACCCTGAGATCATGACCTGAGTCAAAGTCAAGAGTTGGATGCTTAACCAAATGAGCCACCCAGGTGCCCCAGTAGATTTTAAACTACTCTCTGTTCCTATTTAAAAAGGATCAGATGAAAGAAATGAGCATAACAACTCCTTAGGAATTTAATTTTTTATAACTTTCCTTAGGTCAGCTGTTACTAGCTTTACAATAGCAAAAATTATGGTTTGTCTTGGGATATTGATTTTAAAAATCACTTCAGAGTTTGGTTATTTAGCTGGCCTATTATATAGTCTTTGGCAAATTTTTCTTCCCCTGCCCATACCTACCTCCTATGGTATATTCTGTTTACTGTTTATGTAATTAAGTAAAGCGTTGTGAACACTTTGGAAGACACTTAAGAGCAATAATAGTATTGGTACTATTACTTCCTCCCTCCCTCTCTCCTTCCCTTCCTTCCTTCCTTCCTTCCACCATTATTAATGTGTATGATGTGATTCTGCAAGGAAAGTACAGAGAGCACTCTATCTGGACCCTTAATTCATTTAGTCTTGTGCAGTAAGCTAGGACCAGTGTGTTACTTGATTTTTAATCTCATTTTTAGAAAGTATGGTAAAACCTAATATTATTCTACATGGATATAATTGACTCCAATTATTTTGGCCATAAACTGAACTTACTTTTTGGTGACTTTTTCGTTTGTTATTAGTTCTTTAAGATTTGTTAATGTGTTAAATTGCCACAAATGGTTGATTATTGTTTTCCTAGAATAACTTGGATTTAAAAACCCTAGTGAATTGTTGAATGGTTTAGTCATAGTTTGTGTAAATTAGAGTACACAGCGGGATTAGATGTTGCTAAATTTATATAGCTAAATATGAAGCTTCACAAACAATATAAAATGATAGTTGAACCCTGCTTAGGGTATATTTAAGCTCCTGAAACTTAAAAGAATTGTTTGACATTGGTATTACATACACTGTCTTTGAAAGAACTGACTGCATGTTTTACTGAAATTGTAAACTTGGTAAGGAACAGTGTTTACCTATGTTCAGTCAGCTCTCCTGATACCTTTTAGTAAGCATTCAAGCTTTTCATCCAGAGAATTACAGGACAGCCACGCAAACTTAATTGAAAGCTTTTGCAAAAACATTTCATTGGATTCAGCCTTGAGGCACAAAGGTAGATAGACTAACATTTTGGATTGTATTTTTATGTTCAGAGTAATTTTATTTATTCTAATGTTAGAATTCTCCTTTAATCACTTCTGGGAAATGTGAGCAAATAATAGTTCTGTTACTGTAATTTTAGACACAACAATCATTATTAAATGATTTTTACTAGATGTTATATAATACTTCAAAGTTTTGATAGGTTTAGGTGGACAGGTTTCTATAGAAAAACCTATTTAAACCAGTCATTGATTAGTGAGTTGGCTATTTTTCTTAGTGGATAAGTAATTCGTGCATTGCTGTCAAGTCATATCAGAATTATTTTTAATAAAAGATAAAGATGCTGTTTTTGTTGTTTTGTCTTTTAGCAAGTAGAAATACCACAACTCAGATTTTTACTTGTAATTTTAATATTGAATATCTGTTCCTTTTTACTTGGATCAGTGTTATTTAGCGAGTTGACGCCGATAAAATAGATCTGCCTTGGATTTCTTGCTTTGTAATTTTTCAGTGTATTGGGCACAGGTGGTCTTGGTTAGTCACTGCCTTCAATTAAATGACTTTGGAGATTGACCCAAACATTAGCTTTGCACATTAGTTTTCCACTCAGAATATTGTTTTATCACTTGAAGGGTCACGAAGTCTGTTGAAAGTGTGTTGTTTCTTCTCAAGGGTTTCTTGAAGCCATATGAAAATACCCTTTCAGTGCTTTTCTTTCAAGGATCTTTCCTAGCAGTTTCTTATACTGTATGGAGGAAGGACCCCCCCTCCCCCCGCCTCCCGCCGGTAGATTATCTAGGAATAGGAGAATAGTTTTTTGTTGTTGTTGTTTTTTGTTGGGGGAGGGGGGCAGATACTGGACAGTTTCCTACGTTAAGAGTAGAGAGAATATGTTTCCTCACAGGATGTATTAAATTTATTAGCGCAGTGTCCAGGCACATGTTAAGGTTACTCATATTATTATATCACTATGTATTTTAAACAACTATATAATTTTTGTAAATGCATAGTATGTTTTTTAATAATTTATTTCTGCTTCTGGGACAACTGGCTGGCTCAGTCAGTGGAACATGTAACTCTTGATCGAGCAGTTGTGAGTTGAAGCCCCACGTTGGGTGTAGAGATTACTTTAAAAAAAAAAGTCTTTAAGCTAATAGTAATAATTTATTTTGCTTCTATGTGAATTGCTTGGTTTTAATTGCATATTAGTATATGTTTTCAATATATATAGTGCTTTCATCTCTCCTGAGCCTTTTGAGTTACGGCTTTTTGTCTAATTTCTATAACAGCTAATGAACATTATTGCTGCTGTCCATCTCATTCTTGTTTTGGGCCATGCAGACACAGCTTCCAGGTCAAAACTCAGAAAGGAGAAGGCCATAATCAAAAGGCTCAAGTAGGCCTTGTCTTATAAAATAGTATTTTTCTTATATTTGAAAGCTGTGCTTGACCACTTGTCCTCAGTTTAAAGGAATTCTATAGCTGATAATAAAATTTTATGTAACAGTGTTTCTATTCCTCTTGGGTTAGAAGTGAATTCAAGTAGTAATACATAAATACTATATCTTAAAATATTTCACTTTTATCAGAATCTTTTCAATAAACGATAGTCCCTTAAACCATCCTTTTTTGTCCAGTCATGAATGCCAGGCAACAATTTTCAGCACTTTTAGTTTTCTTTCTGGTATCTATTTCCAAATAATATGCTTCTGTTGCTCTTTCTTAACTTTCAGATATCGCTGAATCATTTCTTGTCCTGGTGAGTGAGGATTTAACTCATTTAAATCCTCTTCCCATGCCTTCTTCCCCATTTCTAAAATTAAATTGTAAATTTTGACAGAAAAGATTAGGTGTATATATAGTTAGGTAACTATTGTTTACTGCTGAGTCAAGTAATGAATTATAACATTTTCTGTCTAGGGTGACTATTTTTTTTTTTTAAGACTTTACCCATTTATTTGAGAGAGAGAATGAGATAGAGAGAGCATGAGAGGGGGAAGGGTCAGAGGGAGAAGCAGACTCCCCACCGAGCAGGGAGCCCGATGCGGGACTCGATCCCAGGACTCCAGGATCATGACCCGAGCCGAAGGCAGTCGCGCAACCAACTGAGCCACCCAGGCGCCCAAGGGTGACTATTTTTCTTAACGTTAATAATTGGCTTTGTTCAATTTTCTTTTTATGAATTAGTAATTTTTTGTATATGCTCCTACAGAATATCTCAGGACTATTTTCTACAAAGAAAGATTCATTAGATAGTATCAGTTCCTTTTTTTTTTAACTTGGGAATTTCTTAGTTTTTCCACCCTTTCAGGTTTAGCCTGGCTACTGGATTTCTGGGAGCCTAGTGGAATGTGGGGGCTGGAAGTTTTCACTTAACTGTGTTCATCGTGGCTCCTTATCTCTGCTTTACCTAGGTATCTTGCTTGTCAGTCTAGAGCCTCCCTACTCACTTTGTCCAGATGATAAACCTCACTATTTTGAGACACTGTAGGGAGAGATAGTGGCTAACTCTGTGGCATGGGGATAAAGGGTCCAGTGGAAAGGTCCAGCTGTTTCTTTTATAGGCTTTCACTAATATTCCTGTTTAGGGCTCTTTGTAACTATTCCTGTCTTAGAAGGTACCTGGTACTTCCAGTCCCTGTATTTTGTATGTGTGTTCTACAGGGAGAATTTGGTGGTGTGTTGGAATCCACGTTTGCAGGCACTTAGACTTCAGCTGCTTTTGATCTGCTGAGTTGGTTTCTATTCCTCCACTTGCTTGCCACTTTCCCAAAACTTACTGACTTGTCTTGTATGCTGTTGTGTTCTTTCCTGTTCTTCCTTGTGGGCTTATAGCCTTATTATTTTACTGACATTGTATTAGGTTTTAGAACAGCAATAATGAACATATGTGTTCAGTCCAGAAGTAATATTAAACAGTGTAATTCCAAAAACTTTTGGGTTTTTACATGTTTTCTTCCTTTTTGCAGGAGAAACCCAAATGAAGATCAAAGGAATAGAACCAGAAGAGATTCTTTTCTTTTTTTTAAGGCTTTCAGGAGAGCCACATTCTATAGATCTAGTTACCAAATATGTGATTTTACATTAAGATTTTACATTAACTTGCTTTTTCTTAATATGACTCAGATGGTTGCAGAAGTGAGCTTAGGAGTCAGAGTGTGTATAAATGAGACTATCAGAGAAACTGAGTTACCAGAAACTGGTTACTGGTACTAGCAAAAGGACTTCTTAGCTTTTTAACATTTTGAACTTTAATAATTATGATTAATAATTATGTTTGAGTTTAAGAAAGTGATAGTTCTGGTACCTATTTTTTGTTTTTAGAGGCAAAATTCTGGTTTCTAAATTCAAATATCTAGAGGAGCTGTGCTAACTTTACTAGCAATATGTGGCTATTTAAACTTAAGTTAATTATTATAAAATAAAATTAATTCAGTTCCTTAGTTATTCTAGCCATTTTTCAAGTCCTTGGTAGCTACGTGTGTCAGCGATTTTCTAGAGCCTTCCCGGGTTAACACAGGTTATATTACATTGATAATTCCACATATATTGTTTCTAGAGAGTTAACCAAAATGTTGAAGAAGTTCAGCCATCATAATTGTCATGTTCCTACTTGTTCTACTTTAAAATTTCAGGTAGTGGCAGGAGCATTCCTCATATCTATTTAAATTGTGATAATTGTGTCTTTGTTTGACTTCTCTGGCTTTACTTTTTGTTTCTTTTTCCTCCAGACAGTGCAGTGCTTGCTAGACAGTGGTGCTGATATTAACAGGCCAAATGTATCTGGAGCTACTCCATTGTACTTTGCTTGCAGGTAGGATATTTTCTATTTGCAGATGCTCTCATTAATGTATTTATTGCATTTCCAAACACAAGCATTTCTGTATATTTTCTAAAGTTCTCTTGTTTTCCCACAAATACTGTGTTCACCTAACTGCACAAGGAAAAACATTTTCTATTATATTGCCAGTGTTTTTATATGTTATAGGTGGGAGCTTTTGATTTACTTGATTATTTAAATTTTAAATTTTAGACTAATTACTTAATAAGTAATGAAAAAAGACATCTCTATAATCCAGTAATTTCCGTTAAGTACTAGGTCAGTTCCAGAGGGATAAACTATTAAACTATGTTTTGGACCAGAGCCATCCATGTCTTTGCTTTCTTTGGATTTGTAACTTTAAAAAAAAAATCTTTGAATTTGTCTTGTTAGATATTAAATTATGCATTAAGTTGTTTTTGTGCTTCTGTCTTGGTTCATTTTCTTGAAGCATGTATTTTCGTTGGTTCATTCATGTAATAAGCAGACATTTAGTTAGCACTCTGTGTGTGCCATATATTATGGCGTTAGTGATACAGTAATAAACCTAAGTCCATAAGGAACTAACAACATAACAATTATACACGTACTCCACCCCATACATACACACCCACATATATACATACTATGTTATATAAATGTAGTTTGCAGTTAGAAGCAGCTTACAGTAAACCACTGTTTCTTGTCTTTGGTTTAGATTATATGAAGTGCAGTATTTATTTACGCTCTTAAATGCAGATATGGAGTTCTCCAGAAAGCTCCTCTTTTCTTTTTTTTTTTTTTAAAGATTTTATTTATTGGGGCACCTGGGTGGCTCAGTCTGTTAAGCGACTGCCTTCGGCTCAGGTCATGATCCTGGAGTCCCGGAATCGAGTCCCGCATCGGGCTCCCTGCTCGGCGGGGAGCCTGCTTCTCGCTCTCATGTGCTCTCTCTCTCTCATTCTGTCTCAAATAAATAAATAAAATCTTTAAAAAAAAAAAAAGATTTTATTTATTTATTTGAGAGAGAGACTGAGAGAGAGAGAGCATGAGAGGGGAGAGGATTGGGAGGGTCAGAGGGAGAAGCAGACCCCCTGCCGAGCAGGGAGCCCGATGCGGGACTCGATCCCATGACTCTGGGACCATGACCTGAGCCGAAGGCAGTCGCTTAACCAACTGAGCCACCCAGGCGCCCCTGTTATAGGTTAGTCTTAATGTCGTGCAATATTGTCGGTGAGGCACTTGAAGCCCTAATTGGGTTATGCAGATTTTATATATATTTTAGTTCTTGTTTCTTGCTTTTAATTTATTTTTGAAATGAAATGTTACCTGATCGTAGATGAGATTTTAATGTAGTTTTAGAAATTACTCCAGCTTTCTAAAAATGTCAAAATGGTATTCTTTTTCCTTCATGATAATTATCCTTTTTGCTATATATGATAAATAAAATTATTTGGAGACTTTTTAAAACCACATATATTCAACAATGTCCCATTTGTACATGGTGATCTTGTCTGTCCATTGTGTGTGATCCCCATTTTATTTTTCTCATAGCATGTATCCCCTTGCACCTTGTACCATACTCTCTTGAGTACTAAATTGTTTACTCTTTGAGGGCAAACTCTGTTTATTCATCTTGGTTGAATAATATGTAGATGAAAGATTTTGGAGTTAGACTGACCTAGATTCAAATTCTCCTCTGTCATGTAACTGTGATCTTGAGTAACTGTGGTTTTCTCAAGTCATGGTTTTTTCAACTGAAAAATGGAATGAATACTTATTTTATAGTAGTGTCAGGATTAAGTCAGACTTTGTACAAAGAACTGAGCATTATGCTTGTCATTTAGTAGATCCTAAATAAACTGTGATTCAGGTCTTTTTTTTTTTTCTGTAGTACACTACCTTATTTAATGCTTATTTGTCAAATGAATGGTACCTGAAGTTAAAAACTATAATTCAACATATGTATTGAATATATGTTATAAGCCAACTACTGTGCTTGGTGCTATGGAACAAATATATTGTGAAGAAGTTTATAGTTTAATTGGAAAGATTGGACACATGGATATTAAATAATTATAGAAGAAATGTCATTAAAGTTGAGCAGACTAGCTTTGCAATTTTGGGTTTTTCAGAACCAAGCATAGTAGCAAAGATAACACTCTCTCTAAATAAATTAATAAGTTAGTTTCTTTTCACTTAGCTTTCATTTTTAGGTATTACAAAGAATAGAATGGAGTTAATTATAAACTCTTGCTGTTAGCTTTAATATATAATGTGTTGACCAGTACTCCCAGCTTAATGACAAATGATGCTCGATGAAGACTTTTCTTGATGTACAATAGTAAAACTACCTACTGTTTCTTTTGGAGAGATTGCTGATTTATTTGGTTTCTTGGTTTTCTGGAATAAATTAGGTACTGTTCTTAAGCCAGTTTTGGCCTCTTGATATTTGTATTAAGCTAAGTAATCAGTATGACAATAAAGTATTGGGAGAGTGATGTATCTATAATATCTGCCATCACATTCATAGTAGGGTTTATTAAATTTAAAAAATTTTAAATTGTTTAATGCCATTTGGTTATAAATTACACTTTATGCAGTGTCATTTTGTGGTAAAGAATGAGTGGTTTTTTTTTTTTTAACTCTGAGAAGTCTGTGTGTCTTTCTCTTTGGGAAATGACATACTGGTTTGGGTGTAATGGTATCGTCGAAGAGTCTTGTTTTGGAAGACGGGGATCTGAGTTCTAGTTTCACCTGTGCTTGAGTTAGTAGCTTTTGTCATCTACAAAATACAAATTTTTGATTAGATACTCTTCTAAACCGTATGACTTCTTTGGGCATTTCGTAAAATTCAAACTGTAGTGTCTGTGGATTGTAACTTTATTTTTTATTGTCTAGAGTATCTTGGATCAGATTAGCTCACTGAATAATGAGACCTAGAGTCTAGTGGTTACCGTCTTCAAATTAGCTTCCTCCTAGCTGAAAGAATGATGGTTACTAATTTTACTCCTACTAGAAAGAGAATAAGTAGAATGGGCATGTGGATAAGAGCATTGTTCATTCTAGATCAGATTAAATAGCTGTCAACAGAAGCCAAACTGAGTGGGTTGATAAAATGAAGGTTGAAAGCTAGATAGTATTTTTGGATAATTAATCCCTACCCTTCCCTCATTCTCTTATTTTGATAGTTGTATTTTCTTCTTCCTTCCTTCCTTTCTTTTTATTTATTTTTTTGCCAAGTATTAAAGTGCCATAAAATATACTCTTGTTTTGAATATTGAGGTTTTTTTTGACTAAGAGGTCTAGAGACTTGGATGGGTGTGGTAGGAAGAAGGTTGGAAATGATTGAAAGAAAAAAATGGAGCATAAGCCTGAGTAGTAGCTGTTTATCCCTAAATGTTATGATTTATTGTAGGTAATGTGTTCTAAGTTCAGTTCTAAGATTTAATAAGTCAGTTTCCTATCTACATGGTGAAGGTATGATTTAACATTGGGAAATGTTTTCCTGGATGTTGAGGATGTAATTCAGATCTTCCTCTCAATTTTTAAAAATTGTTAGTCTTCTCTTGATTCATATTGACTGTCCATAATTCATAGAGAAAGACTTTAAATTAAAAAAAAATTTTTTTAACATGGTTTTACTTCTGTACAGTCATGGTCAGAGAGACACAGCACAGATTCTTCTGTTACGAGGAGCTAAATATCTGTCAGATAAAAATGGAGTAACGCCTCTGGATTTATGTGTACAGGTATGTTGTTAATGTATATTCTTAGCCCTTTACTTTACAATAGAGACTGAGACTGGTAAAATCACCTTTTTTCCTCAAATGAGAGGGTGGATGCAAAGATTTTTATTCTGTAAAGAATATGATTTTTTTAAAAGAATATGATCTTTTAAAGGAACTGTGATAGTATAAGAAATATATATTGGTCTTCATCTTAGTTCCTAACACAAGAGCTTCTCAGGCACTTGGAATCTCCAGAGTGATAAAAATGTCTTTTTGTACATTAATGAGATGGCTGGTGGCTTAAAGCCTCTGAGAGCTTCAGGATGGGTGCTGATTGCCTGGGAAGCCAGTCATGTGACACCCAGGGAGGTGAGAGGGACTGGAGGTTGAATTCAGTCATCAGTGACCAATAATTTAATCGATCATGCCTATGTAATGGAACTTCCATAAAAATCCTGTATACAGTGGGGTTCTCAGGGAACTTCTGGATTGGCAAATACATCAAAGTTGTGGGATGGTGGCATGCCCAGAGAGGGCATGGAAGCTCTGTGCCCCTTCCCACATACCTTACCCTGTGCATCTCTTCCATTTGGCTGTTGCTGAGTTGTATCCTTTATAATAAATAAAGTGTTTCCCTGAATTCTGTGAGCTGTTATCAAACAGCAAATAGCAGATTATCAAACCTGACGGGGTGGTTTATGGGAACTCCTGACTTAAAGTTGGTTAGTTAGAAGTATGGGTGGCCTGGACTTGTGAGTGTCTTTTTTTTTTTTTTTTTTTTTAAGATTTTATTTATTTATTTGAGAGAGAGCACATGAGAGGGGGGAGGGTCAGAGGGAGAAGCAGACTCCCCGCCGAGCAGGGAGCCCGATGCGGGACTCGATCCAGGGACTCCAGGATCATGACCTGAGCCGAAGGCAGTCGCTTAACCAACTGAGCCACCTAGGCGCCCTTGTGAGTGTCTTCTGAAGTGGGAGCACTTTCATGAGACTGAGCTCCTAACCTGTGGGGTCTGTGTTAACTCTGGGTTAGCGTCAGAATTGAATTAAATTTTATGACACTTAGTTGTTGTCCACAGAGAGTTGGAGAATTGCTTGGTGTGGAAAACCCACACCTTTAGTGTGAGACTGGTGTGTAGAGGAAATAAGTTTTCCATTAGGAACTTCTTTTGAACCTAGATAATTAAAAAAAAATTTTTTTTTTTTTTTTTTAGGGTGGTTATGGAGAGACATGTGAAGTATTAATTCAGTATCACCCTAGGCTTTTCCAGACAATTATTCAAATGACACAGAATGAAGATCTCCGAGAAAACATGGTAATGTAATTGTACTAGTAGCTTGTAAATGAACAGGTTTTTTGTTCATGTTTGGCATATATGGCATTTTAAAATGTGCCTAGTAATTTTATTATTATAAATATTTTAATGATTCAGATTGCTTGTCTGCGTTATAGGAAAGTATGAATTATATACTAATAAACTTTGTGCTGCTATTTAGCCCTACGAGTCTTCTGCCCTCAGGGTCTTTGTTTTGTTTTTAAAGATTTTATTTATTTATTTATTTATTTATCCATCCATCCATTCATTCATTCATTCATTCGCACACGCATGCGTTGGGGGGCGGTCAAGGGGAGAGGGTGAGGGGTAGACTCTCAGGCAGACTCTGCACTGAGCCCAGAGCCAACCTGGGGCTTAATCCCACAACCCTGAGATCATGATCTGAGCTGAAACCAAGGGTCAGATGCTTAACCAACTGAACCACCCAGGTGCCCCGAGGTCTTTGGTTTTTGCTTAAAATAATTGGAATTTTCCCCATAGGTAGGGGAAAATAATCTGAGGAGGAATATCATAATGTCATTGGTAATCACTTGTTTATTGAGCTCTGTATTATAATATCTTTACTCTGAAAAATTGCGGAGTTTATACTTCTCTTATATTTTAGAAGTTTGGAATTAAATTTCTGTAAATGAACTTGGTGATTTCTTTTTTTTTTTTTTAAGATTTTATTTATTTATTTGACAGAGAGAGACACAGTGAGAGAGGGAACACAAACAGGGGGAGTGGGAGAGGGAGAAGCAGGCTTCCCGCTGAGTGGGGAGCCCGATGCGGGGCTCGATCCCAGGACCCTGGGATCATGACCTGAGCCAAAGGCAGGCGCTTAACGATTGAGCCACCCAGGCGCCCCTGAACTTGGTGATTTCTATCTATTTGCATTTTTCATTGCTTTAAAAACTGGGTGATTTTGAAAGGATTTTATGTCATGTCTATATTAGCTTTTGAATTTATGCAAGGCAAAATAACTGTAAAGGACTTGATTTCAGCTAATTGGCTTTGGGATACTTTTTAAACTAATAGGTATATAATTTCTTAATAAAGTTTAATGGATTATTGTATAATCACATTTTTTTATTTGTAAAAAATTTAGTTGCGGCAAGTTCTGGAACATTTGTCTCAGCAAAGTGAAAGTCAATACCTAAAGATTCTAACAAGCCTTGCTGAAGTTGCCACAACAAATGGGCATAAACTGCTTAGGTAAGTGTTTCAAAATATAAGCAAATCAATAGGTAGCGGTATCTGTCACCTTTGTCTCCTTTCAGGCTTTTCTGGGGATGGTTTATTTTGTTTGATGTTTTTGTCAGTGCTAAGGTGTTTTAAAAATTTGCTGATTTATTATTGTTTCGTTTTAAAAGACCAGGGCAATCAAGTATTACTGAGAGACTTTAGTTTCTCTAGAGGGACTAAAAGTAGAGAGTTACTTAAGTGGATTTGGACATAAGTGTCTAAAATTCTATAAAATGATAGATTAGTCCTAAGTAAATTGTACATGAAAAATAATCAAGCAAGTTTAGGAGTCTTTTTTTTTTTTTTTTGGTCCTTCCCCCAAGAAAATAGTTTTCCATTTGACATAGAAGAAAACTGAAGTTTAACCATTTACCAAGCTAACACATAGAAGAACCAGGATTCCTATTCTCACTAATAGAGAGCAGATTCTGGGTTACAATCTAGCTCTTAAAAGAAACAAGGAGATTAGTGGAATGGAAATAGAATGGGAAAAAGGGAGCCATGACCATAACAGGTTTTAAAACTATTTTGCCAATATGTACTTGCCTCACTGCTTATAGTGCTACTTTTCGTATGCTCTGTGAAATCTGTTAATTATGGCCATTTTGGGGCTCTAAATATCTTTTTTTGAGATTGGTAGTGAGTATTGGTTATTAGTATTTTATTAGAATTTATTGTATTGTTTACTCTTTTGGGAAATCCTGTGTTTCTCCTTTACTCTCGCACTTCTACCGTGCTCACCAGATGTGTGGGTTTTTTATTCCCCCATACCAAGAAATTCTTTAGACATCAGCTGGTGTACAGTTTAACTCAGCTTTGACAATTGTCCATCTAGAGATATATCAGATCTCATAGGTTAAGGGCTCATTCCTGTGAGACTGCTCCCACTTTCAGATGCCAATTGCAAGTAGTAGGTCCCCAGGTTACCCACACCTTCTGTCTGACTTCACTTCAAATCAGAGATTCTCATGACCTCTTTCCTCTTAGATTTGGAAGCTCCCCGAACCCCGTATTTTGGCTTTTTGTGGAGGCTTTATCTTGTAGGCATGTTGGTCATTAACTGCATTTCCAGGCCCTCTCCCCTTTTTGGAGAATGTGGTGTGGCGCTGGAAATTCCAAGCTTCTAATCATGACTTCATCCAGGAGCCCACAAAGAGTCACCTCAGTAGAACAAAAGACACTGCTGTCACCCAGGAAATTACAAAGGATTTAGGAACTCTGTGTCAGGAAATGGGGTCAAAGATCAAATATTAGGACAAAAGATGCTCCTAGTGCTCTTATCACTTAAGAAATTATGAGGGTTTTAGGAACTCTGTGCCAGCAACCAGGAGTAGAGACCAATATATATGTTTTCTATTATCTCACAATTGCCAATGTATAGTCTTAAGAGGATCTCAAATATAAATTATTCTCCTCTGCCAGTTTATGTTTCATGGTACTTCAGCAAATTGTCTCCCTTTTGTTTATTCATTTGTGAATCATTTTATGTTTCTTAACTCACAATGTGATATAATTTTGGCCACATACTTTATTTATTTATTTATTTATTTTAAAGATTTTATTTATTTATTTGAGACAGAGAGAATGAGAGACAGAGAGCATGAGAGGGAGGAGGGTCAGAGGGAGAAGCAGACTCCCTGCCGAGCAGGGAGCCCGATGCGGGACTCCAGGATCATGACCTGAGCCGAAGGCAGTCGCTTAACCAACTGAGCCACCCAGGCGCCCCTTGGCCACATACTTTAATAGAAATTTTAATTAAGGAAACTGATTCAAATATGTATTTAGTGATAACAGATGTTATTTAGCTTACTCTTGAGAAAGCTGAGCCTTTTGTCTAACTGATTCTAGGAATATTTACTAAAGATAATAAATATCTACTGAAGGCCCTTTTGCACATAATGTTGTGTTTCACTAAATAAGTTAGTTATCTTGCTTTCTGTATACTTTTGATTAAAGATAAAGATAGTTATCAGTGTGCAAATGAACAGAGAAATTATAGCTGTTTGCTTAGTGAGACACCGAATGAAAGTATACTCTTAACGTAAACCAAAGGTAAGTATATCGATAGGGCTCTGCATTAGGAAACTAATGTTAAAACTTTTACATTCAGACACCTCACGGCTTGGGAAGAAATTATCATTTTATAATCAATTGGAGAAGGATATAATGTTTGGATTTATGATCTTTTTGTTTAATACTAAAGAGATATTTCACTGGTTGTAAAGTGAAAAATAACATTTTTTAGATCCAGTGAATCAGCTTGGAAGAAGTTTAAAGGGTACAGTAAATAAAATTATTAAACTGTATTAATAATTGATAGTGATATTCAGATTCCGCTGTGTAAGAAAATACTTAAGATAACTCATGATGTGTTTCCTAGATCAGTACTTAAATCTTTATGTATATGGTAATTTTATAGAGGAAAGTCAGATTCACCTCTTTCTCATGGAAGAATTTGAGTCATCATAGTTAACTTTTCCAAGAGTCACAACACAGAGAAGGAAATAGTTTCTATTTTGTCATTCTCATCAATCTTAGGATATAAAATTAGAAACACTTCATAAAGACAAATACGTAAAAATCAGTGCAAGCTAAAATAGTAATTCTATACCCATTTGATTCAAAGTTACTAAAGCAAGTTTTGCTAATGTGATAGAGCTGTTCCAATTCAATACAGCATGGATAGCAGTAACTGTTACATTTTACTAACACTTGTAACTGTTAGCTAATTTTTGTTGACCGTTTTTAACAATTTCATTATTCTTACAATGAGAAACAACATGAATATTGAAGTGAAAATGTCAGAAAATTTTGGGTTCACATGTCACCAGGATAGAAAATACCCTCTATTTGGCACTTACCACACTGGAATACTTTTAGCAGTAGGCATTTGCTATTTCCACATTATTAATTCCTTTTTTAATTATTATTATTGATGTGTAGTTGTCATACGTTATATTAGTTTCAGGTGTACAAGATACACAGTGATTCAGCAATTCTGTACATTACTCAGTGCTCACCATAAGTATAGTCACTATATGTCACCATATAACGTTATTACAATATTATTGAGTATATTCCCTATACTGTACTTCTCATCTCCTTGACTTATTTTTATAACTGGAAGTTCGTACCTCTTAATCCCTGTTATCTGTTTTGCCCATCTCCCCATCAACCTAATCCTTAACTTTTTTTCTCTCAAATTTTTTTGTTATGTTAATCACCATACATTATTACATCATTAGTTTTTGATGATTCCTTATTTGCGTATAACACCTGGTGCTCCATTCAGTACGTGCCCTCTTTAATACCCATCACCAGGCTAACGCATCCCCCTACCTCCCTCCCCTCTAGAACTCTCAGTTTAATCCTTAACTTTTTTTAATGTTAAAGGATACCTAAAAATATCGTAGAGGAAAATTTTAGTGAGCTAAGTAAAATACACTTAGGGAAAGATAGGGTAAGCTTTGATAATTAATGTATACAAAGACAATCATACCATTCTGCCCAAAAGTTTATGTAACTCTTTACTCTGCTTTTGAGCAACTGTTGTAATACAAGATAACTGATTAGAGGGGCGCCTGGGTGGCTCAGTCGTTAAGCGGCTGCCTTCAGCTCAGGTCATGATCCCAGAGTCCTGGGATCAAGCCCCGCATCGGGCTCCCTGCTCAGTGGGAAACCTGCTTCTCCCTCTCCCACTCTCCCTGCTTGGGCGCCTGGGTGGCTCAGTTGGTTAAGCAGCTGCCTTCCGCTCAGGTCATGATCCCAGAGTCCTGGGATCAAGCTCCGCATCAGGCTCCCTGCTCAGCGGGAAACCTGCTTCTCCCTCTCCCACTCCCCCTGCTTGTGTTCCTGCTCTCGCTGTCTCTGTCAATTAAATAAATAAATAAAATCTTTAAAAAACAACAACCCCCCCAAAAAAAACCCAAGATAACTGATGTTAGAGATTTCAAAATAAAACCACCCTCTGAGCAACAACGAATACTTTTTTTAAGATCTGTCATTAGATTCAGTAAAGATTTAGCATAACTCCTACAGTTTCTCTGTGGAGGGGTAGTTGATTGATATTTGTAATGATGAACAATCCCCAGGCACTATAAGATTCTGAAGGGCTTTTTGATTTGTCAAAGAAGGTCGATATTATAGTCACTTGGATTTGAGTTTTTCTTTTTTTTTCATAGTGGGATGTATATCCTATATTTATGTAGAGTCATAAGACTCCCCATTATGTAGAGAACCACCCTTGCTGATAGTAACTTTAAGATTATTCAATTTGTAAATATTCTACTGTACATGAACAATTGGTTACTGTTCTGGGGAGAGGTGGGGAAATGAGGTTATGGATAGGAGAGTAGAAAGTTCAGCTTCAGTTGAGTTGTGGGTTGACTTAAGAGCATAACATTTCTATCATTGTTTCTCTGTGAAATGTTCTCAGAGTTCTAAAGACTCAGTATAATTTACATATATACTTTTGGAAGTGGAAATTGGAGATTGCCTTAAGTTGGTGCCTCAAGAAACTGTTTAACAGTGGTTCTTTACTTCATATTTTTATGCTTTGATTATCAGTTATATTCTGGTTGCTTAAACATTAATAATTCATTCATATGCAATTCAAGTAATGTATAGCAACTTCCTATTAAAAAAACATTCGAACCCTATCATGATAGGAATTTTGCTAGTTATGTTAGGAAACCCATGGTCAGTGTGACAAAAAGGTCTTAAGTATTTTAAAATATAACTTGTTTTATTCCACCTAACCTGTTCATATTTTAATTTCTATTTTCAGCCTATCTAGTAATTATGATGCTCAAATGAAGAGCCTTTTAAGGATTGTGAGGATATTTTGTCATGTCTTTCGAATTGGTCCATCCTCTCCCAGTAATGGAATCGATTTGAGCTACAACGGGAATAAAACTCCAAGAAGCCAGGTGTTCAAGGTCAGAAAAGTACATGATGTTGTTAGGAAGATAACTGAAAAAGAGATGAATTTGATAAAACATGCATTCTTAGTCAGAAACCTCACAAAGTTCGATTCATACTCATACCACTTTTAAGTTAGGCACACCTTTCCCCTTTTGTTTCTGTCTAATCAGCAGCAATCTTAAGTGGTGAGTTTTCTATATTTTTCTTACAACTAACATTTTAATTCTATTAGTGTTGTATTCTAAAGGGTAAAGATATTTATTATTTAAATCTACATTTTTATTGGATTAAAGGTTTTAAATGTGACCGTATGCGGCGTCATGCTTTTTTTAAAAAAAAATTCTTCAGAAGGAAAGAAAATATCTAGTTTTCTTTTTTTTCCTTGTGTCCATTTATTTTTTAAGTTTTTTATTTTAATTCGAGTTAGTTAACATACAGTGTTAATGTTAGTTTCAGGTATACAATATAGTGATTCAGCAGTTCCATACATCACCTGGTGCTCATCATGACCGGTGCACTCCTTAATCCCCATCACCTGTTTAACCCATCCCTTCACCCACCTCCCCTCTGAAAATACTTAGTTTGTATTTAGAGGTTATTATCATATGTATGGTATGTGTGTGTGTCTGTGTATGTGTTTTTGAAGTAAGATTACTTTCATTTCCTAGGTTTACTACCAGTTAATTCTTGAGATCACTTCAAGGAAAAATCATTGAGATATTTTCTTTCTTTCTCTTTTCTTTTTTTTGAAGGGAGAGAGAGCATGAATGGGGGGGCGGTGGTGGCGGGAGGGCAGAGGCAGAGGGAGAAGCAGGCTCCCCACTGAGCAGAGAGCCTGTGGCGGGGCTCCATCCCAGGACCCCCGAGATCATGACCTGAGCTGAAGGCAGATGCTTAACCAACTGAACCACCCAGGTGCCCCATATTTTCTTAAAATATTTTGTATTGCTTCAGCTGTTTCCTGTAAGACCCAAGACAATGTTGCTACCCAAATTAAATTACAATTTTATGAATTAAGCAAAATGAACATGGCTATAATTGCTATTGTTAAGGCTTTTTTGGTGGCATTATATTTTTAAATAACTCAGATGTTGGACAAATGTGTAACTTTATAACTTTTCATGTTATTTTTTTAAAGGTAATTTATCCTAAGAGATTTTCATCGTATAAAATTTGCTTTTGGGTTCACAAAGGCTTATATTTCTTTAGTCTTTTGAGTATAAATATAGGTTGTCTATCCAAAAAGTGATACAATTATTTTTATGTGCCAGTTCCTCAAAAACTAGTTATGATTGACAGCTTTACTGTCTCTAAAATTTGAAGTAAAACTAATGACCTTTGCTAAATGATTTTTTTCTTACATGGAAATTTTTTTGGCAGACACAAATAAGTGCTTTGTAAGCATTTTGACACTAGTAGATTCTTTAATAGAGTCTACTAAAATAGGTATGAGAGGCTTTTAGAAAGGTATGTGTAAGTGTCTTGCATCTGTTTGTCTGCTTCACTGTTTTTTAAAGAATTAGTGTAGGAAAGAGTTTTCAGCTGTGTGTGTGAGTGAGTGAGAGAGATTCTTTTTCCTTCCTTTTTTTCCCCTATTGTGCCACCTCCTGGAAGAAGTCAGTTATACATCTTCTTGCAATTCAAATTTTGGCTTTTCACATAACACTTCTTCAGCACTAGTTTGGAGTGATAATTTACTGTCTTTGCAAAATTTGAATCTAATTATTGATCTACTGTTTTGTCAGTGCTGTTTTAAGTGACTTTTACTGCTTAAACATTCACATTACTTGCAGTTGTTCTTAATGTATTCTGGTGTGGCCCATGCTGTTAGTTACTTAAATCTAGGCTTGATTGGATTTTCTGCTTATCCTTTCTACTTATCTGTAATGATGAATAGAAAATCAAATCAGGTGTAGATACAGTTACTCTTACCTAAATTGCGTGTAGATTATATATACTATTGTCTGATTTTTTGTTGTTAAAATTTAAGTCTGCTGTGTGTTTCCTAATGATATCAGAAAATAAGTACTGTGCTAATTCGTAGCCTCTGTATAGGAATTTAGTGCTTGATTTAAAATGTTAGTTTTCTATCTGGCCCATCAGTACAGGTATAACAGAGTAGGAAAGGGTGTCATTGGTTTTCTTTGAGCTTTTCTTTTATGGTATCTAAACTCCGTTTTGATTGTGATATATCAATGACATATATAATACAAAAGTTCTTTTTTTCTGTTTTTTTTTCATTTGTTAGTTTCTTTTTTTTCTTAAGCTTTTGCTTTCTGCATTATTGACAACTTCTTTTGCCTCTGACCACTTATTTTCTCTTAAATTTTGACCTTTCACTTTGGTAAAATATTTTTATTACAAAACTCATCTAATTTTTTTTTTTTTTTAAGATTTTATTTATTTTTCGACAGAGAGACAGTGAGAGAGGGAACACAAGCAGGGGGAGTGGGAGAGGGAGAAGCAGGCTTCCCGCTGAGCAGGGAGCGCAAGGTGGGGCTCAATCCCAGGACCCTGGGATCATAACCTGAGCCGAAGGCAGACACTTAACGACTGAGCCACCCAGGTGCCCATAACTCAGCTAATTTTTTAAAAAACATTAGCTGTTACTATTAAAAACTTATAGTCTCTTTCATATAATTTTATGAATTAAATGTAGACGAGGATGACAAAATGATCTGCCCTCCAGCTTACAAGGATAAAAAAGAAAAACTACATTGTCCTCTATTTATATAAAGTCTTCTGTTCATTGTGGGGTGATTCACAGTTGTAAAGATCATAACCATTTCCTGAGTTCCTGCAATGCTAGACTGGAAATACCATTTTAATTTTTACCACATTTTGTCTAAGGTAGCAATTGATCCCTACTTTCCATTTCATTAACGGTACTCTAACATGTCACTTTATTGTTAGGATTAACTAATGGGTTTTCCATTAAGAATGAGTGGGTTTATAGGCCATGTGGTTTTAGTAGGTGAAATTGTTTAACATCCTGTTATTAGTTTTCTGATTTATCTTATAAATCCTTTAAGTTAATCTTAACACTCAGCCATTTTTTTCAGTGTTAAGAGATTTTTATCTAGTGCTTTGGGAACTTTGGGGCATCTGAAGGAGAAGGTAGTTATGATTATTGAAGCAGTGTGAGCATGGGGAAGACAATTTAGGTTTCCTGAATCTTGATATGCTGTGTGTGTGTGCGCGCGTGTGTGTGTGTGAATAGTAAGCTGTGACTATTAACACTTTTGTAGAGTTATAATTGGGGAAAATTTGGAAGCCCGGAAAGATTGAGAAACTTTTAACTTTAAAATCTTATCTTCTGGGTTATAACATTTGACATTATCAAATTGAGAATAGACTAACAGAAAACTTCAAGTTACTATTAAAGAACTTAAGTTAGTAATACTTTCCTGTCAAATTTGTATCTCACTTTGGTATATGGATTTTAAATTTTTTAAAATTGTCCGCTAAGTCTGAGATTATATTTATAGTTTTGAAATAGATCTTAAAATGTTTTGAGAACTGTGTATGATTGTTATAACATTGTTACTATGTGTAGAATATATTTCTGTAGTGAAGACCATTCAGTAATATGAAATGAAGCAATATTTCACAATGCCAAGAAGCCTGCTAATGGCTTCCATAGTCATTGACTCATTTTTCAGTAATAGTTGATACATATGTTGCTTTGTATCTTATCTAAAGTTTTCTTTTATTACTTATGGATATAGAAAGCATCATAGATAAGCTTTGCAATGGCTTATTTTTATTTTAAAAATTTATTTTAATCCTTTTTATCTGTGGCTGCTACCACAGTTAGAAATTAAAGCTATTTTCACAGTATTCTTTTGGTTATTGAGGCATGAACTTTCTGAACAAATCTTCCAAGGGACAACTCTTTAGGTAAAAATACCTCGAGGTTGGAATTTGGTTTTAATGCATGTGTGAATGAAGAAAGAAAAGATAGGAAAAAGAGAAAAGTAAAGAAAGGCCTAAGATGACTTACTACTTCTTTTTTTCCCTTATTCTCTTTTTAATTTTTGCTGTGTTCCTTTACTGAAAACTCTTTCTAGAACTACCATTTTTACACAGATCTGAGTTTAAAAAAATTATTTTTGGATTATTCAAAATTTGCCTTTAATTTTTACACATTGTCAGTATTTAAAAATAGGATTGCTGTTGGTTCAGGCTCAGTTCTCTCATCTGTGTGAGCAGCAGGTTTATCATTTCCTGCCTTAGGCTTCATCTCTATCCAGTGTGTTGGGTTTCAAGAAGTTACCACCTGTTCTTTCTGTTTTGGAAGTTCATTTTGTGATGTAAAACTGAAAGTTTTGCTGACATAAAAAGTTCTTTTTCACCTTTTACAGCGTGTTTGCTTTGCTTATGAGGAGAATTAAGACATTTTTGGTGCATGTCAGTGTTTATGGCAGCTGGTGGTGCTTCTTGCCCTTCCTTTAAGCAGCTCAGGGATCCTGAATCTCCCAACTGCTTTGCCTAACCATGGAAAAGACCTCTTTGTGGGGGGCAGGGGTGCTTATTTCAACCTCAGAGAGAGTATAATTAGTTTCTCACTCTGCTTACTTGTTACCAAGTATGTACTAACTAAATACTTGTTGAATGAAAGAAGTAGGTTTTTGTTGGTGATAGTGCGGACTTTTTGCTTTATTTTGTTTTGTTTTCTGCTTTTTGGTTTAATGTTATTGTGAAGACTTAGGGCTGATTTAATTGTTTGCAAATTCAGTAAGTCAAATGCTCTCAAAGAGAATGTTCTGGAAACCTGAAGAAAGACTGTGAACATATAGCAGAGGAATTTGTTAGAAAATAATTGTGAAGAATTTCCTGGAAGAACAGGTTATTTAAGTATTTCCTAAACTTCCAAATATAGTTGTGGAATCTGTTTCCATGAAGTAAGATTTTAATATTTTAATCTTTAAAAGTAACATTATTTCTTTTGGTTGAAATACTGTAGGCATGGGTCTTTCTGAAGCACATAGTCTAATTTGTAGCATTCTGTGATCCTATAAGAAACAAAAAGTAAGATTAGCTTTTACATTCGTTTGCAGAAAGACAGTTTATATTCTCAGTAGGAGTATTTAGCACCTGGAGGCTCACTTGGTTAAGCGTCTGCCTTTGGTTACAGGTTATGATCTCGGAGTCAATAGGAATATTTAAAATAGTGTAGGAATGAAGGAACATTTAACTGCTATCCTTGCCCCCCCCCCCCCCCCGATAACTGTTAATTTTTATTTGGGGTTAAAAATGTTCTAGCAGGTCCTTCCCTCCCTCCCCCAGTTTTATTGAGATATAACTGACATATAACATTGCATAAGCTTAAGGTGTACAGTGTGATAATTTGACACGTGTGTACTGCAAAATGTTTACCCCAATAAGGTCAGTTAACACATCCTTAACTCACATTACCATTTTCCTGTTGTTATGGTGAGGACATTAAAGCTTTACTCTCATAGCAACTTTCAAGTAAGCAGTACAGTATTGATAACTAGTAATCTAATATTGTATATTAGATCCCTGGTAGCATATCTTTTGATAATATTTCTCCTTGTTAAAAATTACTAATTATTAGGGATGATGCATATATTTCATCTTCTTCAGTACTTAGTCCTTTTGTAGCTTTTGTGATTACATAATATTTTAGAAAGGAAACTTCATTTGCTGTTTATTTACAAAAGACATTTCATTATTCCTAAAAGGAATATTTTAAATAGTGTAGAAATAAGAAATAGTTTACTCTCTCCCTCCCTTTTTCTTTTTTAAGCTGTTAATCTTTAGTTGGAATTAAGAATTTGCTAGTCAGTATTTGATAGTTACTAGTTATTAGAGATGGATTTTGTGTATATGTGTGTGAAAACATGTATATATGTATATATATAAATACTACATCATATTTTTAAATTTCGTACTATACATTTTCAAAACCTGAATTACATGTAAAGAAAAGAGCACAGTAAACTTTTTTTTTAAGTTTATTTATTTCTTTTAATAATCTTTACATCCAGTGTGGGGCTCTGAACTCACAGCCCTAAGATCAAGTTGCATGCACCACTGACTGAGCCAGGCAGGCACCCCAAAACTAAGCTGTTTATTAAGCTTTTTAGGAATTCTAATTTTTTTTTTTTTTGGAATTCTAGTTTTTTTAATTGAGAAAAGATTTATAATTGAAAATTGTTAACACATGAGTATAGTAAAGGTTGGGGGATTGTATATATAAAAGTAGTATATGTTTTTAAAGCTAAATATTTGAAAATTTTAAAAGAGGAAAGATTGCTTATAAATTTTTTTGTTAGATTTTAGTTTTACCTTTTTATTCCAAGGAATAAATAAATGCAAATTAAATTTTTGCTATAAGCAAAGAAATTGTTATTTATGTGGCATTCATATGTTTTTGTTACTTACCTTTAGGCATTGCTATCACATTAACATGGGAAAATAGAAGTATCTAGGATAAATTTTCTCTTTTATATTATTCGTTTGGCTGTGTGAGTTTTTTTTCCTGGAGTTTAAGAATGATGTTTAAAAAACACATCTTTTTTCCTCCTAGCCTCTCGAATTGCTTTGGCACTCATTAGATGAATGGCTAGTTTTAATAGCTACAGAACTGATGAAAAACAAAAAGGACTCAACGGATATCACTTCTATTTTACTGAAACAAAAAGGCCAAGATCAAGATGGTACTTCCATTCCTCCATTTGAACCTCCAGGACCTGGGAGCTATGAAAATCTATCCACTGGCACAGGGGAATCTAAACCAGATGCTCTTGGAGGGAAACAGGAAGCCAGTGCAGACTGTCAGGATGTTATTTCTATGACAGCTAACCGGCTAAGTGCTGTCATTCAAGCTTTTTACATGTGCTGTTCTTGTCAGATGCCTCCAGGGTAAGAAGGTTTCTGCTTATTATTTCCTTTTCTGATAGATGAAGAAAAGCTATGATTTTTTTATAATTTCAGTAACAACAAATAATAATTTGTGGATTTTCGGTTCTGTTTTGATCTTGTTGTAGGACACATACTATTCTTAAAATATTTGAGTTTTAAGCATTATATAAGTTACTAACATGTAGAATGGTGAGTGTCACTTTGTATAGGATTACTTATGTATTCAAAATGTATAGAGCAGAGACGTTTAAAATCTCAAGGTTTTAAAAAAATTTCAAGGTTTTTAAAAAGTCACTGGGCATATCCTCTGTTAAAGAAAAGTTATCTATTTTTTAACCTTATAAATTGACTGGGCATGCCTCAGTTTCTCAAATTTAGTCCAAACCCAAATCTTTTTTTTTTTCCTGTCTAGAAGCCAGTCCAATTCTATACATAGTTATCAAATTTGCTGTATCACCAATTTCTGTGTGTTCTGATTGTTTTTTTATCCTCCACAGAATGACTTCACCCCGTTTCATTGAATTTGTCTGCAAACATGATGAAGTTTTAAAATGCTTTGTTAATAGGTAAGGCTTTCTTGGATTCATGGATTGCCCTTGTAGACTTTTCTTTCTTTACTTACAGTTTTTGTCTCAACAAAAATAATGTTATTTCTGTTACTATTCAAAAAATACTACATGACAAGTAAAAGTATAGTAGGTGTGGATTAATATTTTTTTCTGTTTCAGTATCTGTATATCTGAATTTGCATTTCACTTAATGCAACTCATTCTTCCTATCCATTTAAACAAGTTATATTTTTCTTTTAGAAATCCCAAAATTATATTTGACCACTTTCACTTCCTCCTTGAATGTCCTGAGTTGATGTCAAGATTCATGCATATCATAAAAGCGCAGGTAGAGATTTCTCTTAATCTTGTTTTTATTCTGTCTGATGAAAGTTAAGTTTTTTAATTTGAATACTGTTTAGTGAAGTAATTATTATACTTGAGACCTCCTGCTATAAGAGGAGTGAAATGACCTTATTCTTTACTTTAGTATGTGGAATTACATTAGTATGTTACTTTATTTATTTTTTTAAGATTTTATTTATTTATTTGACAGAGAGAGAGACAGCGAGAGAGGGAACACAAGCAGGGGGAGTGGGAGAGGGAGAAGCAGACTCCCCGCGGAGCAGGGAGCCCGATGTGGGGCTCGATCCCAGGACCCTGGGATCATGACCTGAGCCGAAGGCAGACGCTTAACAACTGAGCCACCCAGGTGCCTCAGTATGTTACTTAAGTATGAGGAGCATTTTTTAATCTTAAAGGAAGTGTGTATTGAGTGCCCACTGTTTGCAAAGACAACAGAATACATTGTCACATTTCCTGAAACGAGTTTACTGGAGCATTAGTCCTATAAGGCTGATAAGCATAAGTCCTATAATCCTTGAGAAAAGGATTTTATCCCCAAATGCATTTGGAAAATATAATATCCCTGTTGGAGATTTATAAAGCATATCAGCAACTTATTAAAAGGTTTTGAGAAACCCTCTGCTAAAAACAGTGATTTAACTTTGTTAATCGTCCAAATTTATTTAACCTGAGAGTCTTTTCCCCGGCAAGGTTCATTCCTCATATCTCATGTTTCATGAAACATGCTAGGAAAAAGCTTGTTTTGCTACTTACCAGCTATGTAATTTGGGGCACATTTCCAACATCCTTGAGCCTTGCTTTCTTCATCTATAAAATATACATAATGACACCAAACTCACAAAACTATTGTGAAGAATAAATTTTATCTTATTTTTTTAAAAGATTTTATTTATTTATTTATTTATTTATTTATTTATTTATTTATTTATTTGACAGAGAGAGAGAGAGAGAGCGAGAGGGAACACAAGCAGGGGGAGTGGGAGAGGGAGAAGCAGGCTTCCCGTCGAGCAGGGAGCCCGATGCGGGGCTCGATCCCAGGACCCTGGGATCACGACCTGAGCCGAAGGCAGATGCTTAATGATTGAGCCACCCAGGCGCCCCATGGAATAAATTTTAAATAGTAACTGACATATATGTTCAATAAATGGTAGTTATTTGGAGATAGAAAGCATATGTCTTTTCTCCAAAAAGATCTTAATTCACCCTAGCAAGGGAGATAATAAATGTACCTATAAAATACTAATTACATAATTACCTGTTGTTTAGTAGTTTAAGGGAGGAAGACCTTGCTGCTGTATAGTCAAGGAAAATTTTGAAGAGGAGGTGGATTTTATGCTGGACCTTGAAAAGCACTGCAAAATTTTGTTCGGAGTAAATGGGGAGGGTGAACATTCTATGTCAACATATAGGCCAGGGCTTGTAAATGGAAAAGTGTATAAAATTACAGTGGTTGAAGCAGAAATTTTGTGTAGGTGAGGAATGACATATAATTCTGGAAAGGTGGGTTGGGGTCACACTGTGTTAAGCCTTGATTGTCAGATTGAAGAATCTTCTTTGTTTTTTAGGCTGTTAGCAGCCCCTGATAACTGCTTCAGGAGAATGATATGACCTTGGCAAAAGTTTAGGAAATAATTTGTCTAAAGTGTAGGATAGACTGGAGGCTCTGGTTTGGTTAGTAGTTGTAAGATAGATACTATAGGTGTTTTTAAGTGTCTTTAGGGACACCCATCCATTCAGAAGTTAAAACTAAGAACTAATTTTTATAAAATTATACACATGTATAGATATCCTTTGGCATCTGTTAAAAATGATAATGTAAACGAGAAGGTAGAGATAGTAACTTACCTTTATTAAATGCTAATTTTAGGTCACTTACCATAAATTTATTTGCTTTACATGGATTATTTTTATAGCAATCATGTGAGATAGGTACTCTTTAACTGAAGAGATTAAGCAACTTGTTTAAGTCATTCAGCTACCAAGTGGGAGAACCAGAATTTAAGAGTGTGTCTGTTTTTTAAATTCATTTTCTTAATCTAAACTATGTGACTCCGTTCTAGGGCAAATGAGATAATATGTGAAAGAAGCTTTTAGTTTTTGAAAGAGATAGTTTGTTATTCTTAATATTATCTCTGCTTTTCACTTCTGTTTTCCTCTTCCCTTCCTGAACAATTAGGCAAAAGCATCTGCATTAAGCTATCCACCTTTTTTTACCCACATAGGAGGTTTTGTTGTCTGACCAGGGTGAGAAGGGTGTTCACATGCATAGTGGTGGCCTAGTGTGGGGGTTGGAGCTTGGGTATGTCAAGGAGGTTGTCTGTGTAGTAGAGTATGTGAGTTGGAGCACCGTTTGGCGGATGTCCAGTGTAGAGGATGGTGGCAGTTGCTCAGGGTAGACTGACAGAGCCCGAGTAGGGTAGAGGGCATCCATGCAGTAATGTGTCCATATCAGTGACAGGAGATTGGTTATATACAGGGTGCGGCAGTTCATCAAGTAAGGAAGTATACTTATTATGGGAGCCTGATTTCTCAGTATTGGAGAAAGAAGTTACAGAATGGAGGAGAATAGAATGAACCATGCTGTTGGATTAGAATTGGAGATATCAGTGTGAACCTAAAGTTTTCAGGGTGGATTGAAAGATATAGCAAATCTGGCACCCAATTCTTGGCCTGTTCTCAGTTAACCAGGGCTCTTCGGAGAAATGGCTAATTTCAGGGCCGGGTCAGGGTAAGTACAAATGAGCCTGGAACCTCTTATGATATGATAAGTTGTTCGGAGAGTGATAGGGTTATGTCAGCATGACGCATAACCAGTTTGAATGGACTCCACTGGCCAAAGCTGAACAATTTGAACATCCAAATAAATTATGATGGCAAAATACTATAAATAAAATTGGAACCCATAAGTCGTACTATACTGAAACAATTAATGAATAAATGGGAAGTTTGATGAGGGGTGGGGTGTGTTTACAGTCTCAAAGTATCTACTCACAGAATACTTCAGAATTACAAAGATGAAAAACTACAGTGGAAAACTTGGCAGTGACCGAAACAGACATATCAGCATGCTGGCTGATAGAATGCACTGAGGAGAATATGGCATCACTTCTTTGATATTCCTGCTAAAGATGTATATCCGAATTTAATCATGAGAAGAACGTCAGACTAACTCAGGTGGAGGGACATTCTCCACAATAACTGACCTACAGTTTTTAAAAGTATCAGTCAAGGTCATGAAAATGAAGAACACACTGAAGAATTGTATCAGAGTGAGAGACAGGACAACTAAGTGCCATTCTTACACTGTGAAGGAAGTATTAGGAAACGGGCAAAGCTTGACACGGGGGTCTAAGAATTAGCTATAGTAAAGCATCAGGGTTAATTTCTTGATTTTGGTGGTATCTGCTTATGTAGAATTCTCTTGATTATAAGAAATACACACTGAGGTATTTAAGGGTGACTGGACATCATGTTGGCAGCTTACTCTCATATCAAGGAAAAAATACTTTGTACTCTATTATACTTAGAAATTTTCTGTAACTTGGAAGCAGTTCACAAAAAAGCAAAGTGTAAAAGAACAAAAACAATTACCTGTGGTAAGGGATTGATTTCTTCTTCTATTGGTGGCTTTCAGGTGGCCTGTAGTTAAAGGGAGAGACATTTTGTATTGCTGTACAAATGCATTAAGAGGAACCTCTGTGATCAGTCTTGTTTTGCGAATTATTTTATGGAAATGCAGGTACTCAGAAAGTTTACATACAAAAACATGCCCTTTGGCTTTTTAGGTGTATATAAATGGGTGTGGATGTTTTGATCTTACATGTCTTAACTAGCTTTTGAAGGTAACATTGTGTACGTTTTAATGTTCCATTTGAATTACTTTAAAAAATGACATTTGCTTTTATTTCTTGGTTCACATTTTGTAAAGGATACAGTTTAATAACTTACAACGGTTATGAATAAGTTTCCTGTCATTTTCTGTCATGTTAAATAATTTTAGCATTGTTCTGAGTGATAATAAGAAAACCTACTTATTGAGCATTCTGGGTATTGAGTATTTCCACATGTTACTTAACCTCTTGGTACTGCATTTTTCTCTTCTATGAAGTGGGGATGATACGAGGCCCTTTTTCTCATAGTATTGTGAGCATTACGTGTGAAAATGCATGTAAAGTGCTGAAAACAGTACCTGGCTTATAGTTGCTTTAATAATTGTTAGCTAATTAATGATTGTAATTATGATTATTATGTTCTGTATTTGCATTATTTCATTTAATCCTTACAGTTAGCCCGTGAAATAATTTTCTTATTTTATAGATGGGAAAACTAAAGTTCTGAGAGGTTTAGTAATTTCCCTAAGATCACAAACCTAGTAGTGACAGAGCCAGGATTCCAAACCATGTTTATCAAGCTTCAAAGCCCCTTCGTTCTCTGTAGGAATAGGACTCTGGTTATGGCAGTTACCTTCACTGCATCTTCCAGAGAGATACAGTTTTACCTTATGTGCCTTTTTCCTTGACTCCCTTAGCCTGGTGTGCTCTCTTCTCTCCCTGCTTGAGCAAGTCTTACCCAGCTTAATGTCCTGGTTCACACTGTGACCTCCTGAAAGCTTTGTACTCTCCTTATCTCCAGTCTCTAAATTCTTAGTGCACTATACCACAATAGTGGAACTCTGTACTTCACCATTTAGAACTTGATATTATATACATATTGTTTGTTCTGTTAGTCTTACCTCTTTAGCTGTATTAGTTTTTAACAATGAAATTGAGATTTTAAAGCTCTTATGTTAGCTGCAGTAACAGTGTTAGCACTTACTCGGCATGTAGTACTTCCTGATTAATCATAAAAATTACAAGTCACTTGCAGTTTGCTTATCTGTCAAATGACCAAAAGATAGAGACTTCTTTGCTGTTCAGGAGATCCTATTTTTCAGTTTTTAGGGTGGAGGAAAGGAAGAAAACAGGGTAATTGTTCCTTTCTAGT